CTGGGCCACCGGAGAATGGACAGAGGGAGGGGGCTGGGAATGGAGTGGGGTTACAGGATTCTCCATTAGCTGGAGAACAAGAAGAAATCCCCTTGCCTGAGGAGGTATCGAACTCATGTGTCATTGATTTTATGAACGTGACTGTTGATAATCGTTGTGATGACAATGGAGGTGATATTACTAATGTCAGTAACATGGATAGTAAGGTCAGTAATGTCATTGAGAATGTCAGTATTGTTGATGGTAAGGTTAGTAATGCGAACAATGATTGTGATCTTCATGATGAGACAAATGATGTATTTTCACTGTTGGGGGTCACCCACAGTGCTGTGACGGGGGCAGAGGTACAATCTCTGGGGGCTGAGCAAAGGGATGGTCTGGATAGGCCTGTCCCTTGCCCAGGCTCAAAAGATTGTGCCTTGATAAGTGCCCAGCCGCTGGCCTTGCATAGGACTAGGCAGCCGGCTGGGACTTGTAGTTCCACGCCTCAGGCAGCACTGAAAAGCGATTCCCAAAGGAACTTCAGAAGTCCGCTAGCTGTGAGTTGCCCTGCTAAGAAAGGCACACCACAGCTGGCTGGGACTTGTAGTTCCACACACTTCAGGCAGCCCTGAAAAGTGAGTCCCAAAAGGACCTTCAGAGGTAAGCTAGCTGTGACATGTAGTCCCACAGGAAAGGGCAGCCCGGGAAAGTCATTCATATGGAGATCTCAGCTTGTGTGCCGGGCTGAGCCCCCCTGCTGGGAAGGGTAAACAAAAGCCTGACAGGAAGAATGGCCTACCCCCAGGGGGGTGGAAGCCTGAAAGCCTGTCAGTTAATCTCACTTGTCAAGGTGTGTTCACAGGAAAACAGACAGATGTCATAGGCAGGGGCAGCATGCCTGGATTACGAGTGGAAGGGGGGTTGATGCTTGGGTTACAGAGAGAGGACCGCAGGGCCTCTGATAGATGGTGTCTGGATTCAGAAGGTGCAGGCTGACTGGGCCACAGAGACAAAGAGAATGGCACAGTCAGGAATCCAGGGGTCAGCTAGAGTCTGGGCATCCCTGGTGGTCGCGGTCCTCAAGCAGGATACGATGACCAGGCTGAGGACCTTGGAAAACTGAACGCCAGCCCGTTGGTTGTGGCCCTCCCCATGCCCAGGAGCCATGAGGTAATGGAGCATCCGGAAGGTGCCTACTGTTTTGCCATCATGGACCTGAGCAAGGAGCATGGGCCACCATCTCTAACCCAGCAAGCTCAAGACGAGCCAGCCTTCACTACCCCATGTGGCTTGCCTGAATCCACGGGAAAGCTAGTTGGGGTTGAGAATGCACCGACCGCCTCTCCAGCGGTCAGGAGTGGCCCGCAATGCGCAGTGGACCTGGGTGCAGTTGTCCACTTTAGGGGCCTCACGGTGTTCGGCCCTGTCTGGGAAGGGCCAATTGGGCCCCTGTCACTAGTCCGGAACCAACCGCCCATTGCCCAGTCTGACAGTCGAGAAGGGTAACTGTCAGAGGGGCATGTCAGTGGTTCAGTTTAGGAACACACCGGTAAGAAGAGACCCCCAGAGGTCTGGGCAGGGGGAGACTGAGGCAGTTGAGACCTGGTCTGCTCCCCAGGCCAAAAAGCAGGTTACGTCAGTTGCGGGTGCAGCTGGCTACGGTAAGACGCCTGGATGCGATGACCATGGCTCAGCTGGACCTGTGACTGACCTAGCAGACAGGAAACTGGAGGAACTGGTGTCCTGGATGCTAGCAGGTAACGAGGACTGTCCATCTTGAATGAAGGTACCTATGGACACCACTGGGAGGCGAGGTCCAGAATTCGCCTGTCCGGTTTCCGGTGCCCACAGGCGCTACTATCTTCAGGCCAGATGTAGTCCTAAGCCTGAGGAAGAAGATAAGAGAAGGAAATCTCCTTCTCTAGCTCGACGAAGCTACATATTAATATGTTAGCAAATGACACCCCTGAGCCGAAGTGTTTTTTTGTGAACAGGTGGGCACCCCGGCAGTTGCCACGGGATTCGGATAGCCACAGCCGACTGGTACCCACCCGTGACCACTCACTTGGTCGGCCCAGCAGTGTTGCTGGGGAGAACGGCTTCCTGTTCAGACGGAATTCGGTTCTCCCGCAGTACAGCGGTATCAGGACGACCCAAGAGGAACCTCTGGACAGAGCTCGGTTGCGTCAGGAGGGAACTTGTAGTTCCCTCCCTGGCAATCACCTGAGGGGGAGGTGTAGCGGACTAGCCCATCAGAGTTGGACACGGAGTTCCCCTTTCTCTTTTCTTTTTAGTGGAAGTATTCCTCAGCCCTCATTCCCTACCCCCTCCCTTCCTGAGAGGCAAACGTTATCGCCTGAGTGACAGATGGTGGGGGGTCAACACAGGTGAAGGCATCCCTGGTTTGGTGCCAGCAGTCTGCGGAAAGTGTAACCTTTATCACCCATCATAAAACAGATAAGACCTTCTCCCCGGACTTGAAAGAAGTTGAAACCGCATAAAACTGACCAGCAGTTAATTGAACATTCCTCGGGTCAGCTGTCACCTATGTTTCATATCATGGTGTATGAAGCTGTTAGTTTTAATTGAGAGTCCATGGACCTCCGGCCCAAAATATTGTATTGGGCAGAGTCAGAGCCACCCCCCCCCCTCCAGCAGAGGGATTTTTTAAAAAGGAGAGGCTGCAAGCCTGAAGGCTAAGCTTAGCACACATCTCCTGAGTTTAACATCATAACAGAGGAGATCAAAGACCCTGCTCTGCACTTGGATCTGCTTACAAACCAAGGCATATTGGCAAGTAACTTAACTCTTTAATTTCCTTCCTATTATCTCTTTGCTGTACCTTTATATGCATATATATATATATATATATATATATATATATATATATATATATATATATATATATATATATATTTACATTTTCTTTGTAAATATTTTATTGCACCTGCTTGACTCTTTTAGTAATAAATCTTTCTTTCTGAAAGTGTTAAACACTTGCAATTCATGAATTCACTGTGGTTTTAGATCGGCCGGTCCTTTGGTCACGAGTTGGGTGAGAAGGTCTGGGGTCTGACGCCGCAGGCGGGACGTATCACTGTTAGTCGCAGTCGTGCGATTGTCGCATGTTGGTGGCGGCGACCATGCGATCCGTGACACGCACGACTGCGTCGTTTGAGGCATTTCGTGTGGTCGTTTTGTCAGGGTTGAAGCGTTTGGGGTCTAATGCTACGTGTGGTTAGGGGTGCCAGGGAGTCAAGAGCAGCTGACAGTGAGTCGTTGTATGCAGTAGTGGCCAGGTCAGGGCATGACAGAGGGAGGGTACTGTCATATAGACGGTCAGCTGCCGGGTGGAGATGGGTCGGGTTCAGATTGCGTAGGTTGCGGGTGATGGTTAGACGCTTCGGGGGGAAGGGAGTTGAGGGAGGGGGAGATAGAGAATGTGAGGAGGTGGTGGTCAGAGAGGGGGAAGGGGGTGTTAGTGAAGTCGCGGGGGGTGCAGAGGTGGGAGAAAACGAGGTCCAGGGTGTTTCCATTGGAGTGGGTGGAGGACTGTGTGTGCTGTGTGCTCACACAGCACACACAGTCCTCCACCCACTCCAATGGAAACACCCTGGACCTCGAAAGAGAAGGTTAGAAGGAGGAGTTGGGAAGTAGCCGGGCTGTTGGCGTTGATCGGGATATTGAAGTCGCCCAGGAGGATGGTCGGTAGCTCGGAGGAGAGGAAGAAGGGAAGCCAAGCAGCAAAGTCCTCTAGGAAGGGGGATGCGGAACCAGGAGGCCGATAGATTACCGCAATCCTTAGGGGGGTGGGAGAGAAGAGCCGGATGCAGTGAGCCTCGAAGGAGGAGATAGGGAGGAGGGGTTAGGGAGGACCTGGAAGGTGCTCAGTGGGGGTAGGAGCATACCAACCACTCCGACTCTGCGCCTGCTCGGCCTGGGTGAATGGGTCCAGACGAGGCCTCCATAGGATAGGGCGGCAGGGGAGGTGGAGTCAGTGACTTGGATCCAGGTTTCGGTGACCGCTAGGAGGTTGAGGGAGTGGGAGACAAATAGGTCGTGGATGGCGGTGAGCTTGTTGCAAACCGAATGGGCGTTCAAGAGTGCAACCAAGAGGGGAGGGGTGGATGTGGGGAGGAGGGGGACAGATATGAGATTGAGGGGGTTGCGGTGGTTGGCGTGAGTAGGGGGTGTCGGGAGGGGGAGTGGGGAGATGGGGGGCCAGGGTTCGGGGAGATGTCACTGGCGGTTAGAAGGAGGAGGGTGAGGAAGGTGGCATGGGAACAGGAGGTGCAGGAGCGCATGGGTCTGTTGGTGGTGGCATGTGGGTCGGCGGGGGAGTGGAGTATCACTCCACTTGAGAAGGTTCAAAAAAAATTTGAAATTTAATAAACAACAAAAATTTAAAGGAGACATTGATTAATGGAGAAAGGATGCAATATTTGATTTAACTAACATACGAGGTAGGAGTAGATCAAGATGTAAAAGATACCCTTCACAAAAAAATGGATTCAGATCCTCAGGTAGTTTAGAAGAAGAGGATCCTAATGTTAAGAAATCTGTCAGTTTTTTAGGAAACAAAAAAAACAATATAGAGACAGCAGGTACCCCCGAAAACAGGGAACAATTCAGGAAAATCATAACAAGACGAACAAACTACTCAAAATATTCACAAAACAATAATAAATACAAGTCGAACAAGGAGTCACAAAAAATAGATCACCTTTCAGAATCAATAATTAATATGAATGATTCTAACGTGATTAACCTGTCACACTTCAACCTTGAATACAGATATCTTAAATTGCTACAGAAAGGACTATCTTTTTCTCCCTCTAACAAAATGGGACTTTTCGAAGTCTTTAACCACCTCCTGCCAGTCATATAAGGTAATGACGGGTGCAAGCCGGTTCTCTCATTCTGGGAGGACGTCATATGACGCCCTCCCATTCTAACCGCGGGGGCGCACAGCACGGTGATCGGTGGTGTGCTGTGTCCCTCAGACACAGCGGGTCACCGATCAATGGAAAGAGCCGAAGATGTCGGCTCGGTCATGTGATCAGCTGTGTCCAATCACAGCTGATCGCATGTAAATAGGGAAATGCCCGTTATCGGCATTTCTCTCTTCACAAGCTGTCACGCTGACAGCTCGAGAGGAGAGGAGAGCCGATATCGGCATTCCACAGAGAGGATATGTACACTGATCATCAGGGCACTGATGATCAGTGTGCCCTGATGATCAGTGTAGCCCCAGCAGTGCCCCCTGTCAGTGTCCATCAGTGCCAGCTGTCAGTGCTCATCAATGCCACCTGCAAATGCCCATCAGTGCCACATCAATGCCACATATCAGTGCCTACCAGTGCCCATCAATGCCACATATCAGTGCCCATCTGAGCTGCCTTTCAGTGCCACCTATCAGTGAGAGTTAGTGCCACCAATCAGTGCTGCCGATCAGTTCCGCCAGTCAGTGCCCATCAGTACTGCCTATCAGTGCCCATCAGTGCCATATATGAGTCCTACCTTTCAGTGCCATATATGAGTCCTACCTTTCAGTGCCCATCAGTGATGCCTTTCAGTGTCCATCAGTGCCACCTACCAGTGCCTCCTCATCAGTGCCACCTCATCAGTGTCCATCAGTACAGCCCAGGGTGGATAAAAATCAATGATTTTTTAAATAAAAATAAAAAAATCAGATTTTTATTTAAATCAGATTTTTTTTAAATAAAATGCTTTTTGAGGAAAATATATTACCATACAAAGGTTATTCCATCATGAAATAAAGATCGTTTTTTAATTATGTAGAAATAAGGCTGTAAATGTTTAACTAATATGAAAAGTTGTTATTCTAAAAAATCTTCATCTACTTGCATATTAACGTTATACCAGCAAGAATTAGTCTTTATGTAGAAAACTATATGATTTAAATCAAGCCTTACTGACTAGTGATTTAAATCAAATCCACCCTGGTACAGCCTATCGGTGTCCATCACTGCAGCCTCATCAGCGCACATCAGTGAAGGAGAAAAATCACTTATTTACAAAATTTTATAACAAAAACTAAGAAAAAACTTTTTTTTTTTTTTTCCCATTATGTTTTTGGTTTGTTTAGCAAAAAATAAAAAAACCCAGAGGTGATTAAATATCACAAAAAGAAAGCTCTGTCTAAAAAAAAATGATAAAATTTCATATGGGTACAGGGTTCCATGACTACGCAATTGTCATTCAAAGTGTGACAGCGCTGAAAGCTGAAAATTGGCCTGGACAGGAAGGGAGTATAAGTGCCCTGTAGGCCAGTGGTTAAGGATTTGAATTTATTCCTAAGGAAAATATTACTAAGGATTCCGTTTAATACAGATAAATTGGGTTTAAATTGTCCCTTGGACACAGCGGATCACCAATCAACGGAAAGAGCCGAAGATGTCGGCTCGGTCATATGGGGGGCACAGTCTCTGATGGGGGTGCTGCTTCTGACGGAGTGCGGCTTCGAAAGAGTGCGAAGCAGTTAAACACAGCAGTTGAACTAAAGCAGGAGAAAGACACAACAACAGCAAGAAACTCTACTGCATGCTGGACAGACTGCAAGCAAACACACTGGGAAACATCTCTTACATGCCTGAGTCCCACTCTGTGTACCTTTATATAATACACTCCTCTTCATACGACTATCCTCTGTTCCCAAGAGCTCACTTCTTTACCCCTCTGCTCCACCCCAAAACTTGCACATCTCCCCCTCATTGCTTTCATCTCCCTACTACTGCCCTCATCACCCCCAAAATGCCTCTTCTAGTCCTCATTTTCCTCTCCTCCATTCCCAAAATCCATTCACTATATCCCTCTGCTCCTCCTAAACATTTGTATATTGTGTCCTCACTGCTTCCTTCGCCCCTCTATGGCACCCACCACCTCCTCCTATTATTCCACTCTCCCACTGACCCGAACACCTCCACTAGGAGTTTCTCACGCTCCTGCACATCCCGCTCACATGCCACCTTTCTCACCCTTCTCCTCCTCCTAGCCGCGGGAGACATCTCCCAAAATCCTGGCCCTCCACCACCTCCCTCACCCGCACAACACCCTCCCGCCTCCATGTCCTACCGCAACCTAGTATCTGTCCCCCTGCTCCCTAAAATCTCCCCCCCGTTTTCATGTGCACTCCTGAACGCCCGATCGGTGTGCAACAAGCTTACCGCCATCCACGACCTCTTTGTTTCCCGCTCCCTCAACCTCCTGGCGATCACGGAAACCTGGATCCAGCCCACTGACTCTACCTCCCCTGCTGCACTCTCCTATGGAGGTCTCACCTGGACCCACTCACCCAGACCTAACGGTCGTAAAGGTGGTGGGGTTGGTCTGCTCCTGTCACCGCAGAGCACCTTCCGAGTCCTCCCAAACCCCCCCTCCCTAGCCTTCTCCTCCTTCGAGGCCCACTGCGTCCGACTATTCTCCCCAACCCCCCTGAAGATTGCTGTGATATACCGGCCTCCTGGATCCATACCCCGCTTCCTGGAAGACTTCTCCTCCTGGCTACCCTTCTTCCTCTCCTCTGAGCTACCCACCATCATTCTTGGGGATTTCAACATCCCTGTCAACCTTGACAACCCGGACACAGCCCGTCTCCTCCACTTAACCTCCTCCTTTGCACTTGCACAGTGCATACAATCCACCACCCACTCCGACGGTAATATCCTTGATCTTGTCTTCTCCAACCGCTGCGCTCCCCACAACCTCACTAACACCCCCTTCCCTCTCTCTGACCACAACCTGATCACCTTCTCTATCTCCTGGTCCTCCAACACCTACCCCTCCAAATGTCACACTACTACCAGCCGTAACCTCCGCAACCTTAACCCTGCCCCCCTCCACTCTGCAGCTGATCAACTCCACGACCGCATCCTCCCCCTGTCCTGCCCCGACTTGGCTATGATTGCCTACAACAACGCGCTGTCAGCAGCCCTCGACTCACTAGCGCCTTTAACCACACGCAACATCAGACTCCGACCGCTCCAGCCCTGGCAGACTGATCACACCAAAACCCTCAAACGACGCAGTCGTGCCCTGGAGCGACTATGGCGCAAAACAAAATCCCAACAAGCTTTCACCTGCTACAAATCTGCCTTCCGCACCTACACCTCCTCCCTCCACGCAGCCAAACAAGCCTACTTCCTGACCCTCATCAAGGCCCTCTCCTCCAATCCTCGCAGACTCTTCTCCACCTTCAACTCTCTACTCTCTCCACCCCCACCTCCACCCAGCACCTCACTCACCGCCCTTGATATTGCCAATCACTTCAAAAACAAGATTGACACAATTCGCAAGGACATTGCCGCAACTCACACGCCCTCTCAACCCGTCCCCTCTCACACAGCTACCCCATCATCCCCCCTCCCCCTCGACATTACCCGCAGGGACTTCGTCGCTGCTCAAACTCCCTCCAACCCCCTTCCCCCTCACTTAGCTACCCCCTCTTCACCCCTCTCCCACGGCCTCACCACTGCTCTGACCTACTCTCCCACCCCACCCTACATTCCTCATACTGAAGCTCCCCCAACACTCCGCACCTTTGACCTTACTACCATCGAGGAAGTCTCCAAGATCCTCTCTGATGCCCGCCTCACCACCTGCCCCCTCGACCCTATCCCCTCACAATTCCTACGACCTCCCTCCCCCTCCATCCTACGCTCCCTCACCCACATCTTTAATCTCTCCCTCTCCTCCGGCACTTTCCCCTCCCCACTGAAGCATGCACACATCACCCCCATACTTAAAAAGCCCTCCCTGGACCCCAATGACCCGAACAACCTCAGACCCATCTCCCTGCTCCCACTTACATCTAAACTCCTCGAGCGCCTCGTCTACACCCGCCTATGCTCTCACCTCAACGACAACAACCTCCTCGATCCCCTACAGTCTGGCTTCCGCCCCCTACACTCCACCGAAACCGCCTTACTCAAACTCTCCAACGACCTTCTAACCGCCAAAGCTAATGGCCACTATTCAGTGCTCCTACTCCTTGACCTCTCTGCGGCCTTCGACACAGTTGACCACCCCCTCCTCCTCAAAATACTACACTCCCTCGGCCTCAGAGATTCTGCTCTCTCCTGGCTCTCATCCTACCTGTCACAACGCTCTTTCAGCGTTACCTATAATGCTACCACCTCCCCCTCACTCCCCCTCTCTGTTGGGGTCCCTCAAGGCTCTGTCCTTGGGCCCCTTCTCTTCTCCATCTACACCTCCTCCCTTGGCCAACTCATACACTCTCACGGCTTCAACTACCACCTCTATGCCGACGACACACAAATCTATCTCTCAACCCCCCACCTCACCCCCTCGGTCTCTGCCCAAATCACACACCTACTGAGCGACATATCAGAATGGATGTCGCTCCACTTCCTTAAACTGAATCTCTCCAAAACCGAGCTCCTTGTCTTCCCCCCCAGCCCGAACCCCACCCCCCATTGACTTCTACATCACATCCAACAACGCCAATATCAAACCCGCTCTGCAGGCCAGAGTACTTGGTGTCATTCTGGACTCCAACCTATCCTTCCAGCCCCAAGTCCAATCTTTAACAAACTCGTGCAAGACTCCACCTCCGCAACATCGCCAAAATCCGCACGTTCCTAACCCCAGAAACCACTAAACAGCTCATCCACTCCCTCATCATATCACGACTCGACTACTGCAACTCCCTCCTCACTGGCCTGCCTCGCCGCTGGCTATCCCCGCTTCAGTTGATCCTGAATACGGCTGCCAGACTCATTCACCTTTCCAAACGCTCCGTTTCCGCCACCCCCCTCTGCCAATCCCTCCACTGGCTTCCGATTGCGCAACGGATCAAATTTAAAATCCTAACACTGACGTACAAAGCTGTCCACCATACTGCCCCGAACTACATCACTGACCTAATATCCAAGTACCACCCAGCACGCACACTCCGCTCCTCACAAGACCTCCTTCTCTCTAGCTCCCTGGTCTCCTCCTCCCATGCCCGCCTCCAGGACTTCTCCAGGGTGTCACCCATCCTCTGGAACTCCTTGCCCCAACCCATCAGATTATCACCTACTCTCCTCTCCTTTAGGCGCACCCTGAAAACCCATCTCTTCAGGGAAGCCTACCTCACCCCTGCTAACTTGCTGACCTCCTCCACTCTTCCTACCACTCCATCCCCCACAGCTATCTCCTCCTGTACCACTATCCCATCCCTTCTAGATTGTAAGCTCGAAAGAGCAGGGCCCTCGATCCCCTCATGTTTTGCATTGTATTGGTATTGCTCTGTCACATGTTCTGTCCCCCTTTGTAATGTACAGCGCTGAGTGAACTATTGGCGCTTTATAAATACTGTATAATAATAATAATAATAATATGATCAGCTGTGTCCAATCACAGCTGATCACATGTAAATAGGGAAATGCCGGTTATCGGCATTTCTCTCCTCACGAGCTGTCAGGCTGACAGCTCAAGAGGAGAGCAGAGCCGGTAGTTGGCATTCCTCAGAGGGGACAT